ATTGTAAAGAAATTGCTGAACAGGAGTTTTTAATGTTATTTAATAAATACGTCAGTTAAACCCAGTAAGCTAACACTACACAAAATATAGCAATACAGTTACGTTAGACACCTAGGCCTACCTCGAGTCAGTTCGGCCATCCAGTAAGTCCATAGTAAGTCAATATAATGAGATAACTAAGTCAATATAATGAGATAGTAAGTCAATATAATGATAACTAAGTCAATATAATGAGATAGTAAGTCAATATAATGAGATAACTAAGTCATTATAATGACTTACAGGATTTTTTTTTTTTTTTCCTGTGGCACAAACTGGCTTCCATAAGAATCAGCACTTTAGCAACAGGAAGTGAAATAGAGGGATATGACGCAAGGCTAGAATGGGTGATCTGTTTAGTATTTTGAGCAAAACATTTCAAAACTCTTCAAAACACTTCATAATTTATATATTTTTATATATCTGAGACCTATGCTATAGCCTAAAAACAGTATGATACGTGACCTTTAAGTTGGATCAATTTAAACTTAAAATGAATGCTTTCAAGTAACCTAGTACAGTTTTGTTAAATTTGTTGTCATAATGCATTTATTAAAGTCAACATTTCATTTATTTCCGCACATGACTTACTAGAAAATAACAACTCACCCATGAAAAGAGGCAACGGAGTTCTCATTGTGTTATATATAACATGTCCGTTAGCTTGCACTAAAATCTTCTGCAGTGGGAAACAAATACAATATTTCAAAAACTTCTGGGTAAATATAAACTTTTTCAACAGATAAGAAATGGAGAAGATCATACACATATGTTTTTCTTTATTAAGAGAAAACCATAACACACTGTACCATGTTTTGAGGGAGGTTTAGGGTGACTGCTCCCAGGCAAGTTGATTTTTTTGATATTTCACATTTGGCAAGGTCACCAAGGACACTGAAAGTCCCATTAGCTTCCTGAAGTCAAGAAGATACAAATGCACATGGTTACAATTGGTTTGCTTATTTACAAAGATTGCGATCTTTTTTAAAGGATGATAATATTTAAATATGAATGCCTCACCTTGGAGAGGACATAAGAGCAGTCTCCATGGAAAGTATACATTTTATCATCATAGGTGGAGATGTGGGAGCCCCCCAGTATGGAGCAGATACCTGGACAGTCCATATCCATACATTTCCACTGACCCTGGGTACAGGTGCTGCAAACAGAGTTCACTAAATCAAATAAATCAGCTTGAATACACATTTTTTGAAAATGATATTCAAGTCAACCATTACCATTTTTGACATGCCCTTGAGTATGATTCTCCTGGTTTGTATGACTTGCCATCGTGTGTGCAGGAGCATTTGTCAAAAGCAACACACCCACTTTGTGTTATGTCATCAAAGACAGTCCCTTAAGAAAAACATAATGACATCATTAGTCAGGTCTGTGAAGTAAACTGCAAACACAATTTAGAATTTGTACACAATATTTCATTTAATCTGTAACACATTTTTTTGTTTTTTACAATGGATATTTTCTTAATACACTCTCTGATGCAACAACTGTATACTCAGTTAAACCCAAATAAAGGCAGATTTCATGGTAAAAAAAACGAACTAAAAACGATTAAAAAGCAATACAAGTTTACAAATGTTTCTGAATCAACATAAACTGCGTTGAATCCACCTAATTTAGATGTCTTTGTCCATGGCCTGACAACTTTCACCATTTATTTTAATGGCAATGCACATGTAAAGCCAAACTAGGGACAAGAGTTGAAAATTGACTAACCACAAACATCAGACATTAAATCGGATTATACCTTTGCACAATTTAACAGCATGAATTATTAATTCTGCACACAATTAGCAAAAGTCAAGAGCCAAAAAAAGGTATATACAAATAATGAAAAGATCACTTGTGTAAAATGAGTAAACCCTTTAACATTTCAGTTTTTCCCCCTAAGTTTGTGGAAACGAAAACTTACCAGATGGACAGAAGCATCCGTCTAGGCAGTGATCCTCACACACTTCGCTTCTCTGGGGGTTGCTGCAGGTGTCAGTACAAGGACTACCACATTCTTGATACTCCATGTTAAAAGGGCAGGTTTTTGCTATTCAAAAAAATGTTATTTAGAAACAGTGATTTTGAAATAATGACATACAACAAATCATCTAAATGTTCTGATTGCTGTTCTTACCACACATTTGTGCAGTCTTCCATTTGTGTGGTTTCCCGCCTGCATGAGCGCACTGACGGGAGTACTCTGATATGGTCGAACACAAGCATGTGGTACTGCTGTTACATCTGCAAATGTCCTTCACACACGCTCCGATGAAAGAGTCCTTATCCATCAGGTTATTACAGCTGAGGAATGCAGGGCCTGACAGCAAGTTCGAGCAGAGGTCGGTCTGGAGGTCAAAGTATATGTTGTATTTAAATTGTACCTACATTTCATTTAATAATAATAATATTAATAATAATAATAACAGGAAAAAGAAGAAGAAGAAGAAGAAAAAGAAGAATAAGAAGAAATGCAGCATATTTAAACAAAGGTAAATTAAAAAAGACAGTAGATGATATAAGTGAAAGGTCATTTGAGTTGTTTGAGAATTCTTTTAAGCAAATTGACATACTTGATTTTCACAGGTCTGTTTGTCTTGAGGGGAGATTTTTTCACAGTCTTCGGTAGGACCATTGGCTTTCCAGGTCTCCTCAAAATAATCAAGGCTTACAGTCTTCCCTGCCGGAACAAGAGGTTTTATATGAGCAAATGTAAAGATTTTGTGCAGATTGGTTTGCGCTTTACTATTTAGTATTTACCTTCTTTAAAGAACTCATCATAAACCTGGACTCCGTTGTAGTCACCGCACAGGCCACAGGTCTGGTTCTTGAATTTAGCATCCAGCTCAACCTAGAAAACAGATTAAAATGATTTTATTTTATCATTATGCACATTTTCAGAAATAACTTGGATTCATTCTTTATGTCTATTGAATCAATTCTAAAAAGTGAATGCTTTCATTTGATTCTTTTCCTTAGTTATCAAAATATATTTCAAAAGCAATATGAGTTATAATTTGTGCAATAGAAAGCACATGATAAATGCACTTACCCAGAGTGCGTCTTCTTCATTCCACATGATGACCACGCCCAACTTTGCCTCGATTTTGACATAGGAGACAGTCCTTTCGGCTGTAATGCCATACCGGCTGAATGGTAAAGTGAAACTAAAGGGGGACAAAAATAAATCATCAGTTAGATGACATCAATCGTCACTGCAACCCGTATATCAGCTGGTAATGGAAAGTAGTTTTGACAACAGACTCACAGTTCATTATTGACTTTGATGGAGGTCTTGTCTAATTCCACATCAGCCCCGTCCAGTCTCATGGTGACCCTCTTTATGATGGGGACCCCATTGATCTCCTGCCGTTGGAACTGAATGTTAAAATTTTCGTAGGTTCCCTTACACTGGGACGCAAGGATGTAGTTGCAAGGTGAGGGAAGCTGGAAGAAATCTCCATCGAACGTCTTGAAATGATAGTTGCCCCATGTACTGCAGATCTTTTCATTGTGAGCTGGTCTCAATTCTAGTTTATGGAGACAAATAACATTTTAGTGGAAACTGAAAATTATGTTTGTTTTGTTATCTCTCATCTTCAAACAAAAAAGACAAATCACCTTTAACTACTGGCATTTGGTGCATGGTCTGAACTATGACTGAAAAAAAAGACACATGATCAATATTGTCAGAAAAAGACGCTGTTGATATTTGTATTATACAGTATGCACATTAAAAAAATCAACATTTTTTCAGAATAACAGAAAGAAAACATCCAAAAAAACACATCTAGTTGTTAATTTCACTACTCTTTGTTCATTTGCATCAGCAGTTTTTTTTAAGTATAAAAAAATCCCTCATTTACATATTTTAACACCATATCGACTATTGAATAAACAAACATTTTAAACTAAAGGATAAAGAGTAACACTAAATATATAAAGATAGACTTATTAATGCAGGTAATCAGCTGGTGATGTTTAATGCTGATTTGTAATAATATGCTGTTATTAAATTATACAATATGCTCCAACAGCTGTTACCCCAATCCCAATTCTTCCCAGGATAGGGTCCTTTTTACTTTAAATAAAGCACAAGGCATTAAGGTTAGATTTGATATACGCTGCTCTCTCTGTGTGAGTTGAGATTACATACCGGTGCTGGCGGCAGGTGGTAAAAGGCAGAGAGTGAGCCATGGTATCACCAATTCGAGTAGCATCTCGGCTGCTCTCATGATCCTCATCTTGCTCCTGACCGGGATGGCTGAACCAACTGATCCTACTCGAAAGAATATCATGTAATATAGTTCATTGGGTGTTTGCAGTTAAGGAGGGGTCTAATAGACATTTTGGGTGTCAGCCATTGTGGTCATTTTCACCAGTAAGATCACACCCATGAAGAGCTTATCACAACATTTCATCTTCATGTGCCTCCGTCATAGTAGTGAATCAGTCACTCTCAGTCTGCATAGTTTTTTGTTGAATTTTGATCTTTGGTAAATTTACCAATCTTATTATGTAAGAACTATAAGTAAGAACTATATTGTATCAACTGACATAATACTATAGTTGTCCTGTTACCTCTTAGACTAATTAAGTTTACTTTTCTCACTTGTCCATGGCATTTTAAGAAGTGGGTTGTGCCTCCCAATCTGTTAAGTACATGTTAACATTCACTTCCTTCAACAATGATCAAACATTGTGCAACTATTTAGAGACCTTTAAAATGAGTACCGACAGTATAGTATCTACCTTTTCTAACAGCTGATGTAGCCCATCTCTGAGTTGTACAAGAAGAAACTGAAACTACACACATTTACAGATGTGTGGGTAAGTAATGACAAGTTATAAAATAAGTAAGTGTTTTGTTTTCAAACCCCTATTCCTATTAATTTACCATGGATCTAGAAATGTTTAATACAAACAACTTTTTTTTATTGATGAAAAGATATATACTTTTAGTCCCACAAAAAAGAAAATAGCTCAGTTGATGGAGCTCAAAACGCTGAATGCATTTCTTTTGCACAGTGTGTAAATGACAAAGACACAGTACTACAAAGATTTTCCCATTGAAAGCAACATTTATTTTCTGACATCCCTTACACTAAATATTGTGCATTATATTATATCAGGCTTTCAATGTAGAGCCATGGCTTCAATCAATGCTGTTGATGGAAATCCCAAAACGCCGCTAGCATTTACTGTTCATAAAATAATTAAATGTTTGGGTTTTTCTCCGATAAAAAAAACAGCATTTAAAAGGTTTAAATTCTGAAGTTAAATTAATTGTATTATTTGAATAACATTTTGGAGCCGTTTAATCATATGTTCTATTACCCCCTTTTGAAAATGCAGAGTTTTGTAATGTTCCCTCCTTCCTGCTTCAATAGAAGAATGGACATTTAGAATGAAATGTTCAAATCGTTTTTACTTGTTCGTTACATCAATATCAGATAGAGATGGTAGAACAAAACATGTTAACAAAACATTCCCTCAAGGTAGATAGTGTTCTTGCGTGTTGTAACAGTGCTTTCTTATTTGTCCATGCATACAGAGACTCTGTCATGCAAACAGAAAGCCTTACTCTGACACAAAGCAAACAGAAACGCTTGCCCTGATGCACAACAAACAGAAACTTGTCAAAACAGTAAACCATAGCTGAACCTTTTAACCATTCATGGTGAACTGGGGACTAGACAGCAAAATGGTCTCTCTATATCTTCAATTCTTTTTCAGAGGTTCTCTGTCGATACAGGCTCCTTCAGATTATCTGTATGTGTTATTAACTAAAACTAAATACAGTCAGTATTCTTAGGTCTGTAGGTAATTGTTTGTAATCAATAAAAACTTGACGCAAACAAGACAACAATGAGACAAAAATCGAGTTGCATACTTTTATTAGATTAAATGATAAATATTCTCTCTACAAAGGCAATTGCTTTGAAAGAAATGCAATGATTGTTAAGACAGTATGGGAAAAGAGACTTTTACAGTATATCCATTAATGTGACGACTGACGTTTCTTTCACACCAGTGTGGAGCTTCGCCTCCTGCGAGCAGGTAGTGCAGCCGCTGAGGTGCAATCTGTGTGTCCGCAGCCACACTCTTCCACATGGATGTACGTGTAGGGAACCACATCTCCATTCAAGCAGTGCAGGTCAATGCTGCGATTGCTGGAGCGGGTCTCCCTACAGCAGGAGCAAGAATGCTGCATAGCTGCTGCTGCTTTAGAGTACCTAAAGATAGCAAAGACAGGTTGATTAAAACCTACATAAACCATGTCTAAACTTTTTTAATAGTCCAAAACCTAATGGATTTGTCACTGTTTAGAGGAAAGATAAATATTAGTAATATCATCCTTACTTGGTGAAAGTGTTGCACGTTCCTTCACAATATGGTATTTCTACCTCATTGTATGACTGACAGCCCTTGTGCATAACAAATGTCTTTGTGGAAACAGTCTTGCAGCCCTTCTCCCTCTCCAAACCTTTTAGAAACAGACACACAATTATAACCATTTTCCTTAGAGGACCACAGAGTGAAATATGTTTTCAAACGTCATACTGTACCTGATCATTATCAGTATTTATTTATTTATTTTCAGAATGTTAACCCTTTAAATAACAGTTTACTTACATAATGCTCGTTACAGTATGTTTTATCAAATGTGTATCTGTCGAAACATGCTATTAAGATCCGTATAATAAATGCTAAGTCAATGACAAACAACATCATTGAAGAATTTTAGTTTTTAGAACAAAAATCCAGGGTCATTTTGTGGAGAAAACTAGAAAATTAATAAATGTATTTGATATGGCTTCATATGGTGTAAATATAGTTACAATTTCAGTTCTGAAGTCAGGGCTCTAGATTAAAGCCGTGATATAATAATGCATGGTTTTATGCTATAGTGGCTGTGGGATCAAACATTCAGATTTTCCTTAAGGGTCGGGCTGTAGGTTTGTTATATATATATATATAATATATATAATTGTATGCAGTATTGAACAACTTCTAATTCAAACATTTCATTTTGAAGGCATCTACTTTGCCTCAGGGGCGACTGTGGCTGTGAGGGAGTGCGGTCGTCTTTCAACCAGAAGGTTGTGGGTTCGATCCCAGCCCATGCAGTCAACATGTCGATGATCGACATGTTGACTGCATGGGCTGGGATCGAACCCACAACCTTCTGGTTGAAAGACGACCGCACTCCCTCACAGCCACAGTCGCCCCTGAGGCAAAGTNCACCAACCACAGAATCTACAACCCCACCCCCTGAGCCCACTACAACAACTGCAACACCAACCACAACCACAGAATCTACAACCCCAACCCCTGAACCCACTACAACAACTGCAACACCAACCACAACCACAGCATCGACAACCCCACCCAATGAACCCACTACAACACCTGAAACACCAACCACAGAATCTACAACCCCACCCCCTGAACCCACTACAACAACTGCAACACCAAACACCAACCACAGAATCTACAACCCCACCCCCTGAACCCACTACAACAACTGCAACACCAACCACAACCACAGAATTGACAACCCCACCCCCTGAACCCGCTACAACACCTGAAACACCAACCACAGAATCTACAACCCCAGCCCCTGAACCCACTACAACACCTGAAACACCAACCACAACCACAGAATCTACAACCCCAACCCCTGAACCCACTACAACAACTGAAACACCAACCACAACCACAGAATCTACAACCCCACCCCCTGAGCCCACTACAACAACTGCAACACCAACCACCACCACAGCATCTACACCACCTGAACCAACTACAACACCTGAAACACCAACCACAGAATCTACAACCCCACCCCCTGAACCCACTACAACAACTGAAACACCAACCACAACCACAGAATCTACAACCCCACTTCCTGAACCCACTACAACAACTGAAACACCAACCACAACCACAGAATTGACAACCCCACCCCCTGAACCCACTACAACAACTGCAACACCAACCACCACCACAGCATCTACAACCCCACCCCCTGAACCCACTACAACAACTGGAACACCTGCAACAACCACAGCATCTACAGCCCCACCAACAGCTGAAACACCAACCCCAACCATACCAACTAATCCTACCACTACAACAACTGGAACATCAACTACAACCACAGCATCTACAGCCCCACCAACTGAACCTACGACTAAAGCTGAAACACCAACCACAACACCGGTAATACCTGAAGTTGGCCCCACTTTATCAACATCAATGCCTTCAACTGAAAAAGTTATTGCAACTACAGAATGTTTCTGTATATGGAATGGAAATCATTATAGGCCAGGTAAGAAAAAAGTACAACTATACTTTCTTTGAGTTCTCAAATGGTTATTGTAATCGTTTCCACAGTTTAATCAATCCTTATCTTTATTCCCAATTTTAGGGGAGGTCATACCAGTCATCGAACACATCGGATCCGATGCATGTCAAACAATGATTTGTTCGGATATTTGTGAGATTCAAAAGGAGACTGTACTTTGCTCAACCACAACCATGCCTACAACGACACCCACGACTTCTATACCTACCTGCCCTGAATGGGATGTAGCAGTAAGAATCTTAATGTATCTTGCACGTTAAAATCTATACTTGCATTTATTGCACAATACTGATTTCAATAATTTTTCCTCCTTCCATCAGCAAAATGAGACGTTCTTATTATGTAACTGCACTATGGCTAAATGCATTGAGAACAACACCATTGAAATCGTTCCATATGAATGTCCACCCGTTGAGATGATCACTTGTGCCAACGGAAAAAACCCTGTTCTTGTGGATGATGAATACAAATGCTGCAAGCTTTACGTTTGTGACTGTAAGCCATTCTGTAGTTAAATGATTAATATAATAACTGGTTTCTTTTCTGTTTAAAATGATTTCAACTTTTGAACTGTATTTCTTTTCAGGTGTATGTGAAGGCTGGGGAGATCCTCATTACATCACATTTGATGGATTATTCTACAGTTATCAAGGAAACTGTACTTACGTTTTGATGGAAGAGATTTCCCCAAAACATAAGTTGAACATTTATATTGACAATGTCTATTGTGATCCCACTGAAGATGTTTCTTGTCCGCGATCAATAATTATATCATTCCAATCCGAAGTTTTCACACTCATTAATCATAACCTTCTTGGAGCAGCGCAGCTGGAGGTAAAACAATATATATAGATAAATGCATATTTGTTTTTTTGTTCTTAAAGGCCAACCAGAAATACTTACGTAGATGACTGTAAAATAGGTGCAATGGCATTGATGAATGCTTAGTCACAACTTATAGATAATTTTAATTTTGATACTGTATAGTTGATTCCCTTTTTCTCCTTGTAGGCGCATAAAAATGGGATACTTCTGAAACTACCTTATGCCCAACAAGGTGTTAAGATCCTGGATACTGGCATCAACTTGGTTCTGGAAATCCCTCGACTTAAAGTGGTCATTACATTTGGAATAACTGGCTTTAGTGTCACCCTTCCATATATTAACTTTGGCAGCAACACACAGGGGCATTGTGGTAAGAACATACTTCTCTTCAGTGCACATAACAATCATTTATTTGTTTGCAAACTGTAATATTAAGTGTTTTGCCACTCTACCATCAGGCACATGCAATAACAACCAGGCTGATGACTGCAAGTTGCCTGGAGGTCAGCTGGTCGAAGATTGTGCAATGATGGCCGACTTTTGGCCTGCAAAACACATTGAACAACCTGACTGCCAAATACCATCTGTACCACCCACCAATAAACCTAGACCTCCACCAATTGTAACTCCCTGCAAGCCAGACTCCATATGTCACCTTCTTAAGAGCAGGTACACATTTTCCAATCTAAATTGGAAAGTTCACATTCATCAGCATACATTTCACATACTGTATTTAAAACACCATTGTGAGGTTTTGGTGTTTGTTTTACTTTCACAGAGTCTTTGAAGCGTGCCATCCAGTTGTCTCTCCTGACAATTTCTACCAAGGTTGTGTTTTTGACAGCTGTCATGTTTCCAACCCAGCAGTGGAGTGCACAAGTCTGCAGACTTATGCTGCTGCCTGTGCGCAGGCTGGGGTTTGCCTGTACTGGAGAAACCACACCACTTTGTGTGGTAGGCAACTCCTCATTGTTTTTACTGTACATTCGGAGATCAGAGGAATCAAGGAAGGAAGCGCCTTCTTAATTGTGTTGCATCCAGCACAATTTGAACAGGCTGTTGTGCATTTTATTATACTGCTAGGGGTGTTGCGATGCACTGCTATTGATGCTTTTTATTTATGTATTTATTATGTTTTTTCACTCACAGAAAGTGACTGCCCTTCAAGCAAAGTTTACAAGCCATGTGGTCCTGCAGAACAGCCAACCTGTGAAGACAAGTAAGTTTAATCAAAAAGTTAATTTTACAGCACATTAGATTTCCTGAGATGAAGATCATAATGGATGGTAGCAATAGCTATTTGGTTGTGAACAACACAGTTGCAACATACAGTGTATTAAATGTACTATGTTTTAGAGATCCAAAAGAAATAGAGCAAACTAAATGTTCTATCTTAATTTAATATTACAGTTCTAATGAACCAAGAATGAACTACACTACTGAGGGCTGCTTTTGTCCTGATGGAATGAAACTATTTAACAAGGAGTCTGGCATATGTGTTGATAAGTGCGGTAAGTGTATTGTATATTCTGAAATATTTTCGTTGGGAAGAGTCTATCGTATTAATCATTAAGTGACCATTTTCCAACAGGATGTCTTGATCCTGAGGGAAATCCTCGTGAGGTGAGTCTTGTATTCATTTTAATTTGAAATCCCAAACAAAGTTATTTACTTGCGAAAGACAATTAACTCATAACTTTGTTTCATTCTTCTAGTTCAATGAGCAGTTTGAGTACAAATGCCAAAGCTGCATCTGTGGCGAGTCCACCAAGACTGTCTCTTGCAAGCCTAAAGAGTGCCCAACTGCACCGGTTACAAGCTGCATGGGTCCCGGGTTTGTCCTTGTCAACACAACTAATCCATCAGACCCCTGCTGTTCTGCCTTTGTTTGTGGTAAGTCATATAGCATCAATGCATGTTTGTCCTCCAGAGTTTGGAAAATGATACATATTGATAAGTATATTCATGGCTATTAACTATTTTCTTTCACCGTTTTATCTTCTCCACAGAATGTCACAGCAACACTTGCCCACCTACAAACATGAACTGTCCTGTAGGATATATTCCAGAAGTCAGTGTTCCTGAGGGAAAATGCTGTACAGAACGTATATGTGGTGAGATCATTATTTTGTAATAGTTTTAATGTAAAATAAAAGCTAAAGATGAATGTGATACGATTTAACTTGTCTTACTCTTTTCTAGAACCAAAAAGAGTATGTGTCCACAAAAACACTGAATACCAGGTAAATAAGAAATGCAAATATGTAATTATTGTACATACTGTCTATATACGTATATTTATATATAAATAATGATTTGTTAATATACTGTATAACTTCTGACATTATAATTTCTGCTGAACATGTTCTGTATGGCTAAAACACAAGTATGAATAAATGTCTTCTTTATTTGCTAGCCTGGCTCTTTAGTTCCTGTAGAACCATGCCAGGATTGTCTCTGTACCAATGTGGTGGAACAAGAGTCTAAACTACTCAAGATAACATGTGAATTGCAGAAATGTAAAACAGACTGTGGCATGGTAAGTGAAATTACACCTATTTTACAAATACACACAATACATTTTATACATGTAGTTTGTCTCACTTTGTTTTCTGTAAGAGTGAACTGGACTGTACTTCTGCAACTTAAATTCACCCTTTCCCTTAGGGATATGAATATCTGGAACCTGATTCAGATCAGTGCTGTGGAAAATGTGTGCAGACCCACTGTGTTGTCAGTCTAAACGAAACTAAACAGCTCTTGAAGGTATATTGGATCATCTCTTCTGGCTACTACCTCATATCATAATGTTTAAAAAGTACCTTGTTTTTTATATCTGTCCGTAATCCGGCTTCGTCGTGTGTGTGTGTGTGTGTGTGTGTGTGTGTGTGCGCGTGTGCGTGTTTGTGTGTACATCCTTCTCTCTTCTCAGCCAGGAGATACCTGGTCACCACCTGAGAATAAGTGTCAGCATTACACCTGTGTTGAGGTTGGTGATACTTTAACGACGTTCAATTCCCATATTGTGTGCCCACCATTTCAACAGAGCAACTGCCTACCTGTAAGTATCATTTATCAATTTTAACTGATGACACCGAATTGTCTGTGTATCTGAGACCATATGTTAAAACAAATAATGTCAATTTATTTCTCTGCAGGGCACAGTTCAGACTTCAGCAGATGGCTGTTGTAAAATTTGTGAGTGTGACATTTTCTTTAGTCTTGGACAGAAAGTAAATGGACTGTACTTATATAGCGCTTTATCCAGTCTTTAAGACCCCTCAAAGCGCTTTACATACTACATGTCATTCACCCATTCACACCCATTCATACAGAGCAGTGTACCTTACTCTAGGACCTAACATTCACACACAT